TTAATTTTTTTTTTGTTACAATCTGTATTTTTCCTTGTTTCTTTCTTTTTGTTAATAATTTGTCATTTAATTGAGATTTTATTCTTTTTTTATATTTATAAAAGCACTGCTATTATCAATTTGTAACTCTCTCACTTATTGATTTTTTGTGTTTAATTTTTTTTTTTTTTTGGTGTAGATGTTAGATTGAAAATGAACAATCAAAATTTATTGGATATGAGTTATACTTTAAATGTATTCATCAGTTAATTTTTTATTGTTGATTATCCTATTGAAATAATTCATGATTAAATTTATTTTTAATAACTCATTTCCTTGGAAAACTAAACCACAAATTTCTTCTTTGTTTAAATTTTTTATTTATTTATTTAGATTCAGAGTTTGAGCAAATGGAAGATATCTCATATTTAAAATGTTAATTTCTTTTTGAATAATTTAAATATTTATATTCTTTATGTTTGTCAATTCAAGTATAATGCATTTTCAAACAATTTTTTTTAAAATTTTTTTATAATCATTCCAAACCTATTTGTGTTTATGAATCAATATAACGAAAAAACAAATAGCATGTAAAATATTTTAACCACCCACTAACTAAATATAATGGGAATTAAAATTAATTTTATTTTAATTTATTATATTATATGAGATGATTACTGTAATATCTACTATTGATTAAGCAAAATTTGTGTTACTTTTATTTAATATATTAGTCATTTTGATTAATTATAATATGCCTTTGTTACTCTACTTTTGGTTTTCTGAAGTAATTCTTAGATAAATTAGCTATTATATATGTGATGATTTACTAATGTATAATACTTTTTTAAAATTTTCAACAATGTGAAATATTAAATATTTTTAATGATGTGAAATAAGATTTATATACACAAACCAAATAAAAATATTAAGAAATATAAACAAATAGCAATTTTTTTATAGTAATTATTGACTTTCTAAAATCCTGTGCATCGCACGGGTAACCACTAGTACTAACTAAATACAATGTTAGTTGAACCTCAAGTGGTGGATTGTATCATGTTGCTTTAGTCGTAGATCATGCTTATACTTCTGTTTAGTCAATGTTTAGGTGGCTGGTCTGGTTTTCTTATTTTCTTTTCCCCTTCTCTTGCTTTCTTTGGATTGGTTTCTCGCCAATCTTGGGTCAAGTGCTAGCAAATGATTTTGCTTCCTTAGCGGTGCCAACCTAGTTGGGATTGTTAAGGCCAGCAATGATGCTTTTGCACTTCCCTCTTTATTGATGTAAGTTTTATGCTTGTTTTGCTTTCTTCATCAATAAAGCTCTCTTTTGCTTATCCAAAAAAAAAAAAAAGTGGTGGAATCTACATACATATCTTACCATATGTTTTGATTAGTATGTTGTTTGTTAGAACTCCTAGCATTAAAAAGCGTGTTCTGTAGTAATTATTGACTTTCTAAAATCCTGTGCATCGCACGGGTAACTACTAATACTAACTAAATACAATGTTAGTTGAACCTCAAGTGGTGGAATCTACATACATATCTTACCATATGTTTTGATTAGTATGTTGTTTGTTAGAACTCCTAGCATTAAAAAGCGTGTTCACTAACAAAACAAAACTAAAAAAACAAGGACAAAAATATGTTAGGTGGTATTTAATTACTCAATTCAGTATTTAAAATTAAACGTATTTAACACGAATAAATCAAGTTTCCTTTGAAATAAAAATTTGTATTACTTCAAATTTTAAGCACTTCTTAAAAATATATATATAAATTATCTAAAGTCATTGACTTTTTACTTAATTTGTCAAATGTTAAAATTTTAAGCTGTTATGATAATGTCACTATTGAAGTATAAGGCCGCTATATTATCATCACCATCACCACCACACCACATCACAACTACCACCACGCCTCCATCTCCATCAGTTTAAGGCACAACTACCCCATGATATCATCACCACCAATGCAATCACCACTAGTTAGCACAACTGTCCTATTATATCATCGCCAATGCAATCACCGTTAGTGCCCCTATCACCACTATTGTACACCACCACCATTGCCACACAATTATCATTGTCGTTGCCATCTCCACTTTCACAACGGCCCCGTTTGGTAGAGCTGTGGGAAAGTGATTATAATTTATAGTCTAACAGCTTATAGCTTATAACTGTGAATATAAGCTGATTTTTAACTTATAAATTAAGTTTCTCCTCCCCCACTCAAAGAATAAGTTGATTTTTGACTTACAAAAAGCTATAAGCTGTATTGTCAAGCTAAACCAAACACATCAAAATAGCTTAAATTAAGCTAAAAGTTGAAATAAGCTGAAAATAAGCCCTACCAAACAGGACTAACGTCACCACTATCACAACACTACCACCACCATCACCTTCATGACACCTCTACTTCCACTATGATGTCATCACTACTGCTACCATCACTCCTATTACTCTATTATCACTACTATCATTATTAGCACCACCATCATACAATTGTCATCACGTCCATTACCACCTTTGCTAACTCTATCATATCTCACACAATAATCACCACCACCACAATCCTCATACATCACGACCACTATCCCCCACTCCACCACATCACCAGCCCCACAAATATAAAGTGGAAGGGAAATAAATAATTTTTTTTTTTTACATGACTTGGTTAAATTCATCACTTATATTTTTATACTAAAAGAGCATCTATTTTTCAATAATTTATGTTTAGCCTTCATATTTTAGTTTTTAGTTTTATTATCAACTTAGGCATTGTTTAATAAAATTGAAAATTAAAAATTAAATACTTAAAATTAAGTATTAAAAATTGAATGTTGAATTTTTTAAACTGAAAATTTCTTTGATAAAAATTTGAATATTTAGAACAAGTTGTTTGATATGTATAATATTAAATTTAAAATTTATTATTTTTAAATTATATTTTTAATTTTATATTGTGATGTGAGTTGGTGGTGGTAGTGGTGGAGATAGAGAGAGAATGATTGTAGTGATAGTGGAGAGGTAATATAGGGGGTGTTTGGCAATCAGAGGTTGAGGCTATTATAGCCTCTTTTGGAAAATTAGCCCAAAAGCCAGCACTGTAGCACCTTTTTTCTAATTTTCAAAAAAAAAAAAAATAAATAAAAATAAAAATAGGCTGCTGCCCGGACAGTGTAGGCACAGCCTACACTGTCACAGCCGAACAGTGTTACATCAAGGGCAAATCCCTTTACATCAATTTTAAAAATAAAAAGTTAGGGATAAATCTGTCATTTTAAATTTAAACATCATTTCAACACACTTTCCAATACAATAACTCAACTAAAAATTCATCTCATCTTCCCAAATACAAAACTAAAATAGCCTATTAAAATAGCCAAAAAACCAAATAGCTTACTAAAATATCCACTTCCCAAACGAAGCCATAGTAGAGATAAAAAGAGGGGTGAGAGTGGTAGTGTAAGGATGGTAGTGTTGAATGGTGGTGATGGTTATGGGAACGGTGGCAATAGAGGTAAAAGGTTATAGTAGTAGTTGTTGTGATGATAGTAATAGTAGTACCGATTGTGGTGGTGCCTGTGGTAACAACATAACGGTGATGAAGATAATGGTCGTAAAAGTGTGCTGGATGGTGATGGTAGTGGTAGTGGTGGTAATAGCGGTGGTGGAGGTGGTGGCAATGATGATGGTGGCGGTGGCAGTTGTGAAATTATAACGGTCTATGTTAATACTTATATATAAATATTTATAAATTCAATCAAAATTAAGAAAATTTTCTATTACTCAAGTTTTTAAAATTTTTAATTTACATTTTAAGAGTTATTTAAATTTTTAAGTGATATCATTTATGGTTATCAAATGAGCTTAATTGATTTTCACTTAGATTTCATTTGTTTTGATGTAAAATGTTTTTGTCAAAAATATTTTACTTATTTTCTGTTGTTTGGTTGAACAAAAAGTATGTAAAAACATTTTTTAAGAAAAATATTTTTGCATCATTT